AATCAGGGACTAGAATATAGACATAACAGACATCTTAGGAAAGAAGTATCTTATCATAGATTTTAGGAGAGAAATTTTTTTAGTATCATAAGCACACAATTTCAAGGTTAGAAATGCTTAAGGGATTTCTTTTGACAGTGCTATAACAAACTTTTAAAGAAGAATAAAAAGACAAGAGAAATCTAGCACAGAGCTGCCAGTTACAGGTGGGAAAGTAGACAGGAATGAGGAAGGAACTCAAAAAAGGGAAGAGAGAGAAAATCCTGATTTGGAAAGTCCCAGTGAGACCCTGAGAGAAGGAGAAAAAAGCACTTTCACACAGCACGTCATAGCCAGGAGAAAGGAGGGAAGACAAGGGAGCAGAGTTTACCCCAATCCTAAAAGGATAATGTGGAAAAACACTTAGGGGCAGAGCTGCTGAGATATGTGAATCTGCCAAGCCTATATAGTTTAGAATGTCACTAGATCATCAAGAAAGGGGTCCACAGGTAGGCACTGTGTGGACAGGAGGAGATGGAGCAATAAACATTTGTAACAATTAAAAGTGAGGAAGAAGGATCTAGTTTGGGTTCAACTATTTGATGTTTGAGTCATGGTTGCAGCATTTACTATTTGTGTTCCTAGATAAATTACTTCTCTCAGCCTCAGTTTTCTCACAGGTGAAATACTATCAATACTATTTACTTTAAAGATCAATACTATCTACTTTAAAGGTTGTTATGACGACTAAGACAATGAGAAAAAAGTACTTGGCACTGAGTAGGTGCTCAATAAAGGGCAGTTTTTAAAAAGTATTGTCTCTAAATTTGCATGTAAGAAAAATGGTATAATACAATGGAATAATACAACCTGTGATCTACAGGACAAATCCAGCCAAGCCTGTTAATTTACATATTATGTATAACTGCTTCTGCCAAACTACTCAGAGTTCAGTAGTTGCCCCTGAAACGTGTACTATCTAGCTCTTCACAGAAAATATTGCCAGAACCCTGGATAACTGGTACCAGAGCCCCCGTGTTCATGGTTTATTCTTTTAAGCCCAGTAAGTGTGACAAAAGACATAGAATAGGAAACCCCTGCCATTCGCCTTATCCACCCAGAGGCTTTTTCTAATGGATCCAAAGAAAGGACAAGGTTTCAATGGCCTCCCAGAGGCAGAATAATAATTCAGTCAGCCTTGGAGACCATATACCTCACCAGACCTAGCCATCTGCTCGTATATTTAAGACCTTCTTGTTTTAGACCAGGGAGGAGAATGGAATGCCCTGTGGAGACTGCCTGCCCCCTTTCTGAGAACCTGGATGTAAGAAGGGAAACAGGCCTATTGGAGATGATGCTGTAAGGGGAAGTGAGGGCACTGTTATGAAAATTTTATCGCTTGTTCCCAGGTAATCCCAGAAGCAGAAGGGGGAAAAAAGAAATACCCACAGAGACAGATGTGAGCACCCAAGACATTGTGTGTACTTTTAGATACCAGAGGGGCCTATGGAAATAATGGAAGAAAAATGACAGACTCATAAGAACAATGTTAGGAAGTCAATGCCAAGAATGAGATGGGGCTTGGAGAAAATGTTGGGGACAGTCATTGCCTAGCTCTAAGAAAGAAGATAAACAAGGAAGGAAGAGCCCACTTCAAAGAGCAGACATCACTACATGTGCACATAATAATATAAGAACTAACCCATGAATATTTTGCTTGTCCTCTTCTTCAAAATGATTGCAGACCATTGGGGTCAGATCAACCTTGATAATAGTCCTCTAGGAAGTTCAAAATCAGACACGAGATGGTATCAGGGCTCTGGTTACTTTGAACAATGTCATTCTCCTGTCTCAGAGAAATTACCTGCCGGAGTAGAAGACATGAATAGCTGAGAATGGCTTGAGTAACTTAAGAGTCAAAAAATTCTCCAAAAACCGCAACTCCCCATGATATCATGGCGTTGCCAACTACCCACTTCCGCTTGGTCCATTTCCTTGGGGCTACATCACCATCTACATCATCGTCACTATTCTACTCAGTGCATCTATTTCTATAGCAATGCGTTTTCCACTTTCTGGGAACTGGAAAGAAGAAATGTGACCAGAGTGGTCTCCTTGGGAAGTCAGGGCTTGATGCACGCCTTGTGCAATCTGCCTGCTTGACACAAGATGTTTCACTTCCTGAAATGACCAGGATGGTGGCAGGTTTGGGTTCAGGCTACAAGGCCAAGATTAGATATGGCAGAATTGTAGTAACTGTTATGTCAAGGGGCATTGTCCCATGATTCCAAAATTTCCCCTGAGCAGAAAGAACTGGGAGCTCATGCAACCTGGATAGTGCAATTTCAACCACAGGGTGATACTGGACAAGTCACTTCACCTCTTCTGCAATTCACATTCAAATAGCTATTCATGTCTTCATCTCTATAATCCCACTGGATTCCACCAAACAATCATTAGGGTTCCTTTCAGATGGCAGATTCTGAGGTTCTGGAATGCTGCAATTAGAAGACAGAAATGCAAAAGCAGCTCAAGATTCCCGACCTATAACCCAAGTCCCAGAACCAGAATGGATTAACTTAGAGCTGATGCTCGGTTCCTTTGCACACTTCCCTTCCTGTCACTGGCTGTCTTCCTCCTTTGCTCACCTCTAATCATATCAACAGATGGAGGGCATCTCTGTGTTCCCTGTGAGGAGAGCCCACATAGCAACCTGACCACCAGGCCCTGCTCACCACAGCATAAAGACTCTGGGGAAGGGGACAGTTCCTTCAATAGGGCTTGGGGGTTCAGTGGTTAATTTACAAAGTGGATCCTGTGGAGGCAAAACAAAGGACTCCCCTAAACCAACGAGAAACGACCTCCGGGATACCGCAGGAACGGACGCCAAAATTTATGAGGGCTCAGAGTTGGGAAACAATTACTATTTACCAAACTCACAAGAAACTAATGCACTGAACAGTTTTTAGATTTCCTGTGGAAATTATAGCTTACTAAAGATGAATTCTTGCGTCTGCCTCCCTGGTATCAATGTACTGGGAACCAAATTAAGAATCAGAAAGCTGCTTGGTGAGCAAGCCCATGAAGCAATCCTTGGCCCATGGTGCAGTCTATTGCCCTTGTGGCTCAAATACTTTCACAGGGGCTCTCTCTCTTGGATAATGCAGAATAAGCACAGTACCTGGCACATAGTAGGAACAGGCTTGTTTGTTGTTTGTTTGTTGAGTCACTCTGTCACCCAGGCTGGAGTGCAGTGGCACAATCACAGCTCACCACAGCCTTGACTTCCTGAGTTCAGGCTACCCTTCCACCTCAGACCTGTGTAGAAAATTGAAAACTTGCTGAGTGAGTTATGATTATTATCATGAAAAAGGAAATCATAGTGTTAGAGCATTAGGAATACAAAAAATATATTAAGCAGGTATACGTGTATGGTGTAGGTGGGGCATGTGAAGGGGGTTTATTCTGAAAGGATAGTGTACAAGGAATGTGTTTTAAAAGGGGATTGTCCCAACACTTGGGAATCCCAGGAGTTTGAGACCAAGCAATATAGCAAGAACTTGTCTCTACAAAAAATACAAAAATTAGTCAGGTATGATTATGCATGCCTGTAGTCCCAGTTACTCAAGAGGCTGAGGAAAAAGAATTGCCTGAGCCCGGGAAGTCAAGGCTGTGGTGAGCCATGATCATGCCACTGCATTCTAGCCTGGGTAACAGTTAGACTCTGATTCAAAAAAAAAAAAAAAAGCATTGTGATCTTGGGCACTTGATTTATTCACCACCTTTTCAAAGTATGACTTCACTCAGGTTGTCCACTGGTCATGAGCATTGATATGGTTTCACCATGAGGTTGGCTAGGGTATCAGAGTTGCATGAGCTTATCTCGAGTGTTCCCCAGCTCTGTTGGGAGCCTGTACCCCTGCACACTGCATGTTCCCTGTCCCATCCAAGGGAGGTCAAGTGTCTACCCAGAGGCTCCTGTAATTGATGGAGAGCTCCCAAGATAGAGGACAACAGCCAAGATAGAGAACAGCACCTTCAATCCAGACAGAGAGGGCTACTGTCACTTTATTGTACCCATTATCCACCTCCAAGTGGGAAGATTCCTGGAGTTAAGTATAAGGAAGTGAGTGGGGGAATGTGTGCGTGTATTGATTTATGTACCCTCTCCTTTGCCCCGGATTTCCTAAATTTAAACCTTCTTTTAACCTAGGAAAATTCAATATTTTAATGTTGACATCAACTGTACAATGGTTGTCAGAAAAACCATGCATATTTGCATGATGACACATTTGCAAAATGTGTCATAGTTAGCTACCCCTTGCCCTTCCATAAACTAAAAATTTATTTCACTTTATCAGTCCCCTCCCCCAGAAGCTCCCACCAATTCTCTTTTTTTCTTCCTCCTTTTCTTTGAGTTGATTGTGAAAGCAGCTCAATTAAAGGGGAAATTTCCCAGAAACCCACTTCTGCTTTTGAAGGCCATAAAACAGTGAGAAGAAACTGGCAGACAGCAAATCTCTTTGAGGTACCAGGCACAGCAGCCACTCTGAAATTCTCTCCAGCCAATCTTCATTGCTCAAGTATGACTTTAATTCTTCCTTACAACTAGGTCCTAAGGGAGTCTCTGTCTCTGTCTTTATCTCTCTGTCTGTATATGTCTTCCTCTCTGCTGAGGTCTGAGCATTTTGCAAAAATGCCAGGTGTAATTATAATGCTTATGACTCATGAAGTAGTCTGGGACTAAATGCTGCTTATCTAGACACTAATATTTGAAAAATCGGCATCAAAACCTCTGCTCCAGGTCTTCTACCACGTACACTTCTAGTTTGGGTTTGGTTTCACAAATGCTTTTCTCTAGACTCAAAGGACTTCTCTTTCATGCATTCCTTCATCCATTCAGAGATCATTTCTTTGCATACCTGCCATGTACTAGGTGCTGAAGGAAACTTATATATGAAGGTAGCCCTCATGGAGAAGTTACTCATTCTCTGCTCTTTCCACAGATATCTGGTGCACCCATGGCAACAGTACCTGAACCTGCCAGTGAGATGATGGATTACTACAGGTTAGTGGGGAGACTCAGACCAGTAACATGAGCAGGGTTCCTCTTCAAAAGTGGGATGTTATCTGTGCTTGGAGACCAGATTTGTCCTCCAAATTGCCTCTTTCAGTAGCAAGCAGGGCTTCAAGTAAATCTGATTTAAAAGCTAATTTCCTACTCAAATCCAGTCTTGGGACCCCTAGGCCATCCAGATGTGTTTCTGCAAGGGCTTCCTGTAGATGGAAAACAGGAAGTAAAGATTCCAAGTAGACAATACAGGAAAACCCTTTGCAAAGTATGACCTGGGGGAGAAGGAGAGATCAGACTTTAACTGACTCTGCTGGGTTAGAGTTTAGGTCTCAGGACCCAACAAGGAGCACCTGGGGCACCTGTCTGCCTGACCCAGAATCTACCTCCTAGATTATTCCATGTATCTCACTATGGAACTTGCCAAAAATTTTCAGGTAACTGTGAGTGACATTCTGTTTGCAGTTTCCTATTAACAGTGAAGAATTGTATGGGAGGAAGGAAAATAAACCTGCTTAGGAGACATAATTGAGCCATGTCTTTATTTTTAATACAGCAGCAATGAGGATGACCTGTTCTTTGAAGTCGATGGCCCCAAACAAATGAAGGTAAGACTATGCATGGGTTTAGCTCTCAACCTAGCCTCCCAATTCAAGGCTCTGACATGAGAAAAGCTCAAAGGAAAGGGTTTGGGGATACTTTGTTCCCATGATTATTACTTTAACGTCTTCCAGTGAGACAGATATAGGCTGCTGACCTTGGCCACCATACCACCAGTCACTCACTAACCTTGGTGATGATGGCCATGCTCAGTAGGGGGAAGGAGAGTAATGATAATAATGTTTGAGCAGGCAAGTCTTCAACACAGATTTTATTCTCCTTTCAGGAGATGGTTTGAGCTATGCTAAATCACTCGAGTTAAACTCTGAAAGTTAGAGAAGATGGCCTTGAGAATTAAGGTCTTGGGAATTACAATTATGTCCACCTTGAGAATTATGTCTACCACCTTTGAGTATAATTGTTTTTTGCTCTTTGGAATGGAGCTTATTACAACAAGATGTAGATGCTGTAAACAGGATGAACTGAGATTTGGGGAAAAAACCATTCACTTGCTGTTTGATCTTGAACAAATCATTTCACCCTTTTGACCTCATCTAAAAAACAAAGGGCATGAACAAGATGATCTCTGAGATCTTGGCATTCTGCAAACTTTGGTTCTGAAATATTTTCAGTGGTAGCTAAGTTTAACCCAGCAAATGGGCATTTTTTTCAGACTCTTATCCCTACAGAGAGCCATGTTGATGTTTCACCTGTTACTCCTACTCAGGTAGATGATGCCTGATAGCTTTCCTAAGTGGCCCAGCCATCAGGTCAGCTAAGTCAGTTGTGCAAATTAGTAGGCAGTCACTTTTGCTCTTACTGTTTTTTCAATTCCTGACAGCCTCCTCCAGTATCATAATTCAGTCCTTGGTCTTGTTAAAAGTAGATTTCTTTAATAGTTTTAAGACCAGCATAACTGGCTGACTTCAGTTGTGGGTGGGACTGGTTGGCTTTCCTGCTCGGCTCCCACTCCCTCCTCCAGCTGTTTGCCTTTGGTCAAAAACCTCTGTTCTGGGCAGGAGCTTCTCTCAGGCTCAACTTTGCTTTGTGCAGTGAGAGGTCTCTTTAACTGTCTTTCAAGCTTCTGAACCATTATTATGCCCCAAGGCAACCACCTCAGTTAAGGCTTAGTACAGAGTTTCTTGGAATAAGGGGAAAGTGGTAATGTATTTCACAAACAGTAGCCATTTTTGGAGGTTTTGCAGAATGCCTATGAAACAGTGCTCTGGGGCGGGGGAAACCTGTGTAGAAACTGAAAACTAGTTGAATGAGCATATGATTATTATTATCATGAAAAAGGAAATCATGGTGTTAGAGTATCAGGGATACAAAAAGATGTTAAGAAGGTATACGTGTATGGGGAAGGTGGTACATGTATAAAACAGATAAGCAATGTAGAAGTGGCATTTATTCTAAAAGGATAGTGTATAACAAGTGTGGGTCTGAAAGTTCACATTCTGGAAAAAAAAAAGAAAGAAAATTCATGTTCTGGTTTGGGATCTGCCTCTGACTTGACATGTATCCTTGGGTAAGCCACTTAACCTCTCTGGGCTACAGAGAGACAGAGATTATTGTTTGGAGCTGGGTTATCTCTCAGGCCCCTTCCTTCTCTGATCTCAAAGTGGGAACTTACTGGCCAGACCACCTCACCGTGTTCATTCCCTTACTCTCTCCACAGTGCTCCTTCCAAAACTTGGATGTCTGCCCTCTGGATGAGGGCATCCATCTGCAAATCTCCCACCAGCACCACAACAAGAGTTTCAGGCAGATCGTATCTGTCATCGTGGCTGTGGAAAAGCTGCAGAAGATGCTAGTTCCCTGCCCAAAGGCCTTCCAGGATAATGACCTGAGTGCTCTCTTGTCCTTCATCTTTGAAGAAGGTACTTGGTGACATCTAAGATAGGCAGTAGATCTCTGCTTACATTCTTCTCAGAATCCATCATGCAATGGTCAACCAAACTTCCCCAGAGCTCAAGTTCTTTAAAGGTAGAGGGTCCAGCCGAGCTCAGTGGCTCAGCCTGTAATCCCAGCACTTAGGGAGGCCAAGACGAGAGGATTGCCTGAACTTGCAGGTTCAATACCAGCCTGGGGAACAAGGTGAGACCTCGTCTCTACAATAAGTCAAAAAATTAACTGGGTGTGGTAGCGCATGCCTGTAGTTCTAGCTACTTGGAAGGCTGAGGTCGAAGGATTGCCTGAGCCAGCCTGGTCGAGGCCGGCCTGGTCGGCTCCCATTGCATTCCAGCCTGGGTGACAGAGTGAGACTCCAACTCAAAAAAAAAAAGTAAAGGACCCAGCAATGAGAAGAAAACAAAGAAACCTAGAAACCCAATCAATCATCTCTTTGGTTGAAAGTATTCTTAGTAGAAGACCTTGATAACTATTGACCTTTGCAACTCTCTCATTCATCCTCAGGGTGCTTCCACTTACATTGTCACCTGCAAGTCTCACAACCTCTCTGTGGGACTGGTGTCATGACCATCACCATCTTACATAAATAGCTCTGTCACTCATCCACAATAACCAAGCTGAAGCTAGAACCCATGTCTTAGGGTACCAGATCCAGCGTTCTTCTCCAACCCACTCCAAACTACCTCCCCACTGATGCTATAATCAGACTTTAACCACACATGCTTAGATGTCCTCCAAGAAAGAAAATTCTGCTGCCTCTGATCACTAGGCCTTTCCTTCTGACTTTGTACCTAAACAGCATATATGCTCCATATTTCAGAGGCTATCATCTTGGACACATGGGATGACTCTTTTGTGTGTGATGCACCTGTGCGAATGCTGAACTGTACACTTCAGGACGTACAACAAAAGTGTCTGGTGATGTCTGGCCCATATGAGCTGAAAGCCCTCCATCTCCAGGGACGAGAACTGGACCAACAAGGTAAATGGGGATATCCTGGTTTCCCTTCCTGGCCTTCTTTCAGTTGCTAATTATCCACGTTTTAAACAAAGTAGAAGGTTAAGGCAAATGATCAACATAAGTGAAAAGAAACAGAAAAGAACATAAGAGCTTTTATTTTGGTCCTAGCAATGATATCAGTTTGATTGTGTTGGCATGTTCATTCATTAGCAAGAGATGTGATGCTGAGAAATCTGATTTCCCAAGTACTCCCAGGACCATGTCCCATCAAGTCATTTAGGCATAGTGCAATGTCAATGCTTCCATATGAGGTCACTTGATGGACATGCCCTAACTGCCTGTGGACTCTTTTTTCCTGTTGTTGCGGTTGAAACAAGAATGGTGAAATGATAATATGTCCATCCCCATTCCCAGCCCTGCCCCCTTGCCACAACATCCTTCCTACCTAATACCAGATGGTTTCTTGTGGGGAAATTTTACTGACCAGCAGAAACTTGTATCTCTCTGATGAAACTGGCTAATATGTCAAGTGTGGTGAGCTTTTCATTAACTGTGTGGGATCTGCCTGGCATTGTGGTGCTGTGGCCAAAACCTGAGTGCAAGAGTATGGGCAACCAAGGCTGCTGACCTTGGAAGGCAGTTTCACTTGGGGGATGGGAGAGAACTTCCCACTCTCAGCCAGGCCAGGACAATCCTGTTTCTTTAGACCTGGATGGCAAGAGTGGCCTAAGGGCCTTGAACTGAGACCAATGTGACTAAGGAAGATCAAAATGAATGTCTCTGTCTGGAGTCAGGTTTCCCAGCTCAGCCTCTCCTCTCCCAGGTTCTTCTCACTGGCTGCTCTATGTTTCTGAAACAGCTCTGGTGCCTGATTTCTTAAGGAAGCTCGGCTTCACTTCTTTCCTTACCTACCATGTTGACCAAATTGTCCTGCTCATTCCAATGGACACTCTGCCAGACAGTGAGAATATGGCTTCCCGCTTTCCTTCAGCATTTAAATATTAGGCCCTCCTTCATTCTTCATCACCACAGCTATACAGTTCCAAGAAACCCTTGGACCTTTTTAGGGGGTACCCTGAGTCAACCAACTGACCCTGCTATCTATTATTTGGGAGAAGCCAAGTTATCCCATCTGTTAGTTCCCACAGAGGATGCTAAAATTCACAAGTCCTGCCCATGAGGTCCAGAAGTTGGGCTGACCACTGACCCTGAACTGCTGTGTCCCTAACCACAAGACCCCTCTCATTTCTTCAGTGGTGTTCTCCATGAGCTATGTGCAAGGAGAAGAAAATAGTGACAAAATGCCCGTGGCCTTGGGCCTCAAGGAAAAGAATCTGTACCTGTCCTGCGTGATGAAGGGTGAGAAGCCCATCCTGCAGCTAGAGGTGAGTGAGTGTCAGGAGCTGAAGCCTTTCTCAGCCTCCAGCTATCACATCCTTCCCGGATAACCACCTTCTCCCTGTCCCCACACCACCCTGAAAATCTGGAGCAGGTCTCCCTGACAATGTTGCATTACTGTAAATAAATTTAACATATTTTTTCTATATATATTTTTTTATCGGAATCTTACTCTGTAGCCCAAGCTGCCATGCAGTGGAACCATCACAGCTTACCACAGCCTGAACCTCCTGGTCTTAGGCAATCTTTCCACTTCAGTCCCCCAAATAGATGGGACTACAGGCATGTGCCATCATACCCAGCTAAATTTAACATAATTTTTAATGCATGCAATCTTTAATCCCACCACAGAAAATTAAGTCACTTTGCTGATGTTGTTATGCCCTGCCGTAGTTACTACCCCAACAGATTATACATTGTTAGGGTTGCTCTCATTTGATAGATGACACTTTGGGGAATGAGTCACTTAAAGAGATCTGTCATCATCTCACCTCACTCCCAATATCGCCCCACCACCACCACTGCCACCTCCAGCTTTTCCAGCAAAAGCCTCATTTTCAGGTTGATGTAATTCTACTCCATTACCGTAAGGAAAAATAGAGCAAAAGGTCCTGGAAAATAGGTACTCCAAGAAACTCTAGCCTAATTCTCACTTTAAAAAAAAAAGAAAGAAAGAATCTCACCTGCATTATGTTCCCCAGCACTTGGTACTAAGTTTCAAAAGGAAGGGCTTTTTTAGTAACCACACAGAAAGGTGGGGTCCTAAAGATGAGTCTGGCTTCTGATCCTCAACCTACTCATGTGTTTCCTCTCTAGCCAACCCAGAGAACAGCTTTACCATAATGTCTTTGTCCCTTCCCTCACAAAAATTCCTGTTTCTATTCCACTGCAGAGTATAGACCCTAAAAATTACCCAAAGAAGAAGATGGAAAAGCGATTTGTCTTCAACAAGATTGAAATAAAAGACAAGGTGGAATTTGAGTCTGCCCAATTCCCCAACTGGTACATCAGCACCTCTCAAGCAGAAAACATGCCCGTCTTCCTGGGAGATACCAAAGGAGGCCAGGATATAACTGACTTCACCATGCGATTCGTGTCTTAAAGAGAGCTGTCCCCAGAGGACCAACATGTGCTGAATGCAGACTCGACCCCTAGGGTTGGCAGAAGGGGAGTGGAAGAGTCTTGAGTGTAGCTGCAGGCTGGACCTTCCTGTTGTCTACACTGATAACCGGCTGCCTTCCCAAGGGTAGTGCCAAGAAGATCTCCTGTCTACCAGCCTGAAGGATCAGTTCTCTCTTCCTGGGGCTAATCCTCAGACCTTGCAACAAGCTAAGACCCTCTCACCTCTCCTACTCACCGAAAGTCAGCCTGACAGAAGCCATGGCACATTTGGTTCAAAGAAATCCTCTGTCCTTTGCACCCAGCTTCTGATGGTCAACCACTTAACCTATTTATTTATTTATTTGTTTGATTGGTTGGTTGGTCTATAATTTATTCAGGAGGGTTAAGCAGTAGTAGCATTGGTGAAAGAGCCTACTTTTTAATACCTGTGGAATCAATTTAATTTGGACTGGTATGCTGTCTTAAATCAAATTCTTTTACCAAGGCTGAAAACACATAAGCTCAGATTATTTAAATGGGAATATTTATAAGTGAGGAAGTATGTTTACACTGTTCAAAGGTTCTGAAATAAACTTCACTAAAAAAAAAAAAAAAAATACAGTATGCCCTGATAATTGACTTGTCTTGGACCTGACACTGAAATGTAAAGATAAATGGGGCTGTGAGTATTCTCTTGGGGGGCCAGAAGCCCACGACTAATTGCTGAGTGCTGCAAAATACCTAGAAATATCCCTGTCAAACTCTCATACATTGTTGATGGGAACATAGGCTAATTTAACCCTTGAAGATTTCTCGAAGAACCAAAAATAGAGCTGCCATTTGACCCAGCAATCCCAGTTCTCGGAATATACCCAAAGAAGCATAAATCTTTCTACCAAAAAAGATACCTGCACTCATATGTTCACTGCAGCACTATTCACAGATTCACAATGGCAAAAACTTGAAACAAACACAAGTGCCCACCAACGGTGGAGTGGATAAAGAAAATGTGGCACATATACACCATGGGATACTACTTAGCCATAAGAAAGAATGAAATCTAGTCCTTTGCAGCAACATGGATGCAGCTAGAGGTCATCATTCTAAGTGAATTATCGCAGAAACAGAAAAGAATGCCACATGTTCTCACTTATAAGTGTATACTCAACACTGGGCACACACAGACACAGGATGACAGCAACAGACACCAGGCACTGCCAAAGGAGGGACAGAGTGAGGGGGGAATAAGGAACACAAAGCCACCCATTGGGTATAACGCACATTATGGAGGTAGAGGGAGGGACAGGATCATCAGGAGCCCAAACCTCACCTTCACACAATATACTTAAGTTACAAATCCTCACATATACCCCGTGATTCTAAACTGAGTGAGACTCCAACTCAAAAAAAAAAAAAAATTCCCTGGCCACCAAAAATAAACCTCCCCACCCACCCTCTTTATTTCAGTTTTTCAAAAGGATATTCAGTACACATCTGAAAACAGTTTCTGCTGAAGCATTATAGCAAGTGAGGGTTGATAGTAACAGCTACCAATGCTTTCTCTATTCATTGATCCAACAAACATCTACTGAGCAAATGCTATGTACCAGGGGCTAGGAATACAGATAGAAGAAAGATAAGAACCAGGCTCGGTGGCTCAGCCTGTAATCCCTGCACTTTGAGAGGCTGAGGTGAGTGGATTGCCTGAGCCCGCGGGTTCGAGACCTGCCTGGGTAACTTGGCGAGACCTCATCTCTACAATAAATCAAAAAATTAGCCAGGCGTGGTAGCGCGCACCTG